TTCCCTATGGCAGGCAGAGCACTGGGTCGGGGCGGGGGTCTCAGCCCCAGGACTCCCCAGGGGCTCCGCTGTCCTCCCAGCAGGAGGAGCTGCAGCCCTCTCTCCAGGGTGGGAAGTGGGCCTCTGGCCTCCTCGCCGGCTCTGTGGCAGAATCTACCTGCCATGGATTCAGAGCTTCGGCACTATCTAACCAGACAGGTGAGGGGCTGCCTGCCCGGGGCCTGGAACAATCCTAGCACCCAGGAGCCTGGGTAGTGCCAGACTTGGGGCCCATGGAGCCTCCCAGGCTCTCCTGTCATATGGCAAGCAGCTGGCAGAAGGCCTCAGAGGGGGCAGTGCTCATGCCCCCTCCCTCCCTGCAGTCTGGTCCCTGTACTCACCAGCATCCCTTTGGCACCTTTTCCCACCATGGTGGCAGTGAGTTGGGGGCTCTGGAGTCCCAGGCCACAGTCACAGGCTCTGCTTCCAGCACCTTTCAGGCCACAGACTTCAAGAGCTGTGGAGAGAACAGAGAGTGAGGACTGAGCCGGGCAGGCAGGGGCGAGGCCCGTGTGGCCCCCGGGGCTCTCAGGAACAGGTAGTGCAGGGCTCACTTCCCTCTCATCCTGGCCACCCGCTGATAGGCCAGTTCTCCTCTTGCTCCTTTCTCGATGACCTTGGATCGACTCTTCCCTAGTCCTTCTCCCAACCCTTTCCCTGAATCCTTTAGACTCTGGGCTTCTTGTCTCAACAGGCAAAGGTCTGTTTTTGACTCTCCAGATGCCCAGTTCTATGAGAGATAAAAAATGAACACTAAACTTGGACAGGGTCCAATTCCTTTGTGGTCTTGGTGAATGGCTCCAACCTTTCCCCTGAAGAGGAGTCAACTTGGATCAGCACACTCACCCCACCCAGGCAGCCAGGATGGTCCTTCCTCAGCCTGTTGCCACTCAGCTTGGGCTCCAGGGCAGCTGGGCTTGTTGTTATATCACTAACTTGGACCATAAGCTCTGGACACACCAAACATGCCATGTGCGGGCATGCTTCCCTGCCCTTGCGCAGGCTGTCTCCCATCTGCAACACCTTCCCTCCTGTGCATCAGGCGAAATTCTACAAATCCTTCAGGACTGTGCATAAATGTCACCTCTTGTCTGTAGCCTTTCCCACACCAGAATGAACAAATTGCTTCCTCTTTTCTATTTTGTGCAGAAGTCTACTAGTGTCCACATCAACTCACACTAATTTGCTTTTAAGTCTGTCAACCATGAGTCTGCAAGTTGCCTGAGAGCTTGGGTCTGTGTTTCATTTACCCCTCTGTGCCCAGAACCTAGCACAGTGCTCGGCTTGCAGGAAGTATGGGTTGAATCGAAGGGAAATGGGTAAGGCTGAGGCACTGGAATGAGGGTCCAGGTCTGCTAAGATCTTTTTTTTATTATTATTTTTTTCTTTTTTGATTTTAGAGAGAGAGGAAGGGAGAGGAAGAGAGAGCTAGAAACATCGATGAGAGAGAACATCTATTGGTAACCTCCTGCACAACCCCCACTGGAGATCGAGCCCACCTGGGCATGTGCCCTGACTGGGAATCAAACTGGCGACCTCTTGGTGCATGGGTCTACACCGGCCGGGCTCAGCTGAGATGCAATGTGGGGCTGGTGAGCTGGAGGGGCAGCTGACAAACGGAAGGAGCAGACTAGGGCCATGCAGGTGTTTACAGATTTAATGTTAGATGCTGATGATAGAGGGCAGTGTTATTGTTGACCCTCACCTGAGGATATTTTTCCATTGATTTTTAGATCAAGCGGAAGGGAGGAAGAGAGGGGGAGAGAGAAACATCCATGTGAGAGAGACACATCGATTGGTTACCTCCTACAAGACCCCAACCCAGGCCCAGGTTCAAACCTGCAACCCAGGTGCGTGCCCTTGACCTGTGCCCTTGACCTGCGCCCCGGACTCCGCCTCTGAAGCTTTCCTAACCTTCCAGCGAGCAAGCTCTCCTCCAAAGGTTGTTCTGTGCCACTCTGCCCCACCCGCAGTCATTGGTCAAGGGCCACCTCTCGCCCACAGGCCCAGGAAGTCTTTGAAAGACTAAAGAGATCAGGAAACAGCTCTTTGCTTATGCAAATAAGCCTTGGCTTCTTCAGGTTGCCCTGGCCACTAGGTCTCCTGCATAGTCTGCAGCAGGTGCGGATTTAATTTACAACCATTTCCCTTTTGTCAGTCAACCAGGCTGGCCTCTGCTCTGGAAGCAGGTCCTTGCTCATGACTTTGGTCTTCTGGGGGTCGTCAGGGGGCCAGAGGGGGGATTGTGCTCTCTTAGGATCATACATACTCTTGTCCTGACTCACCACACCCCTCCCTCCAAGCCGTAAGTTCTAGATTTGACTTCCCCAAAGCTGTCCCTCTTCAGCCAACAAATAATGACAGTGATGACAGTAATAATAGCAGATGGCATTAAGAACCACCTCATGGGTTGGGAACTACTATGCCTTCCTGTCAGGTGACCACCATTGACAAGAGTGGGTCTGAAATTCAGCATGAGATGAAGAGCTTGGGCTGGGATATGGTCGCTCTGGGCTGAATTCTGGCTCTGCCGTTCACTCGGTATGTGACTTCAAGCAAGTTACTTAACCCCTCTGAGCCTCCGTGTTCTCAATCTAGAAGATGGGGCTAATGATCCTTCGTAAATTCTGAAGTTTTTGCTTCATTTTTGACTTGACTACAACTCCTTCACATTTTCCACCCCTCAATCCATAAATCTTCCCAAACCTCTGATTTTGTCCAATAGTTTTCCACAGCCAACAGGATATAGTCTAAATTGTTTATCAGGCATTTGAGGCTGGCCACAATTCAATTCATTTATTTCACAAATATTTATTTCAGGCTTGCTCTGGGCCAGACCTGTGCTAGCACCAAGAACTCAGGGGTCTCTGCCTTCCTGCAGCTTACAGAACAGCGGGAATGAGTGAAACTGATGTCTCAAATGTATCTAATTAAAGACAGAGATAAAGGGTGTGAAGGAGAAAGATCCTTAAAGCAGGGGGTCCTGACCTGTCTGAGAGTCACAGAAGGCTTCCCTGAGGAAATGATATTTGAGAGTCAGTTAACTAGGCAAAGTGGCAATAGTGAGGAAAGGAAGAGAAAGAAAGATTTAAGCAAATGAAATAACAGAGGAAAGACTCTGGCCCTGGCCGGTTTGGCTCAGCGGTTGGAGCTTCGGCCTGCAGTACAGAGAGACCCGGGTTCGGTTCCCGCTAAGGGCGCGTACCTCGGTTGCAGTTTGTCCCCGGCCCTGGTTGGTCGTGCGGGTGGCAGTCACTCGATGTGTCCCTTCACATCGATGTTCCTCTCTTCCTCTCTCTCCCTCCCGCTCTATCTGAACAAGGAATGGAAAAATGTCCTCGGGTGAGGATAAAAAATAAAAAAAAAGACTCTTGGGGCTAGGGCTCAGATAGCCAGAGAGAAAGCTGCCAAACATGAAGGTGGACAGATGAACAAGGGCAGGGCCATCGGGACCTGGGCTTTATTTATCCTTTATCCTTTATAGAGGGCAATGGCAACTATTAAAGGCTTTAAAGCAAAGCTGTAATTGTGGAGGAGCAATTGGTAGAATATGCATTTTGAAAACATCACCCTAGATACAGTGTGGAGAAGGGACTGGAGGGAAGGGAGAGTGGAACAGAATAAATCAATTAGGAATAGGCCAACCCAAAGATGAGGTCTTGGATAGCAAGGTGACAATGAGGTGGGGAAAGGTGTACAGATTTGAGAAAAATATAGAAGGTAACATTGGTAGAAGTTAGTACAGAATTGGACTTTGGGAGTGAGGGATACCAAAGGGTCTTTGGTTTTTGCTGGTGCATCAGGAAAAAGTCAGAGCCAGTCCCAGAGATAAGAATACTGCAGGTTTGGAGGGCGGAGAGGATGGGCCGGGTTGAGTAAATTGGGTTCGAGTTGCCTGTGAGCCACCCAATGGTGCATGGTGAGAGGGTAGTCACAGGACCCAGCCCCTTTTAGTCTCATTGCTCAGTCTTTCCTCTCCTAAACAGGGCTGCCAGGTCAGTCTATTTTAAGGGTCATCTGGGCCAAGTCCTGGAGTCCTCTCTGGGGAAGCAAAGGGGTCAGGTTCTTTCCCTGCTTTCAAGGACCTCACAGTTGAAGAGAATGAGGAGGAAGCATAATCTCCTTCACCGTGATGGAGGGAGTGGAGGGGCTGTGGGAGCAGGGAAGGGCCCTTGGCTCTGCCTTGAGCCCAGGTTGGTTATCCAGGGCCACCTGTGGCCACGTGGAACTATTCATCATTCCCAGAGGGTTTGCCTCCAGGCCTTTGCTCAGGTGGTTCCCTCTTCCTTTGTCTCCATTTCCATCTGTACATATCCCATCCATCTTCAAAACCCATCCCAAAGCCACTATCTTCAAGGAGACTTTTTTTCCTCCTCCCAGTTGCAGTCAACCTTTCCACTGTACCGCCAAAGCTCCCTGTGTACATCTGATTAACACTCTCGTCACACACAGTGTAGCAGCACAGTTACTTGTGTCCAAATCTGGCTCCCCACCAGCTGGAGAGACCTTCAGGGCAGTAGTGTGATTCTTCAGTGTCCTCAGGGCTGGGCACAGAGGTACCACTGTAGTCGCAGTATAGGCCAAGTAAGGGGGCATTTTCTCTGCGGTCCTTGTAAATATTTGGGCATGCTCAGTGTGGCCTATTAGTCCCTTCCTAGAACCATCCCCTCACCCACTCACTACTCTCCAACCTTCCGTTGGACCTTCACTTTGGGAATCTTCAACCTCTCAGGTCCTTCTCTCTTCCACTTCTTGACTCCCAAACTTTACCTAGCAGCCACAGCAGCATCAGGCTTGTTTCAGCAAAGAAATAGACCCAGGCTTTGTGCGGAAGCTGTCAGAGAGCCGGGGACTTGGCTCCTTTAAGAGAGACCAACGAGAGGGCGTGGCCTGCGGAAGCAGGCCCGAAAGGAGGCGCAGCTCCTCTAAGCGGCCCGCAGACTGCTAGGAGGCCCCCGGCCCGGAGGCTGGGGCGCGGTCGCTTTCGGGGCTGCGGCGCCAACCACAACGCCCCGATTCCTCGAAGCGGGGCGCGTCCGCCTTAATCGGGGTGCCAGGTGGGCAGTGGGGACCGCGTTACATCAGCTACCACGTGTGGGCCTCTCAGCTGAAGAGAAGGCGGCGGTCCCGCCCCCACCCCCTGCCGTGGAAAAGTACCGGGGCGCCCAGGTACCCGCCCCCTTGCCCCGCCCCCGAGCCGACTCCGGCCCCTCCCGACCCTCCGGGCAAGCCCCCCTCCCGTTTGGCCCTGGCAGGGTTGCGTTCTCCCTCCGGGCCTTAGCTTCAGGGTGCGGGGCGCCGGTTGGGGGTGGGCACTTTGGGCTGCTAGGCCCCTGCCCTCACCTGTGGCCGCCCGAGCCCGCCCTACAGCACCCAGAATGAAGGTTGGGATGGGAAGGGCGCAGATTCTTCCCCGGGTAGCAGCCAAAAAAAAAACTCAGCGTCCAGTCCCTTTCCAAAGACACGGCCAGGAGTCGCGGACAAAGAGAGCCGGAGGGCGCCGGGACTCCCTGGCGTGGCTTCCTTGGACCCGCGAGCGCGCGGATCCCGCACTGGGCCAGCGGGTGGGCGGGCAGATAGGGAGACAAGCCGGCTGGAGGGACCAGATAGGCAGCCAGCGTGGCCGGCTGGACGAAGAGATGGAGCCGGAGCCAGCACGCGGGGCGCAAACACGGCCCGCCAGTTCCTGGCCCCCGCAGACCCCCAGCACGCAGACCCACTGGCGCCCAGATGGACAGTGACACGCTCTGGTTCTGGTGCTACCCGCACAACCCTGCGCCCGCCGCCCCCGACCAAGCAGGCATCGGCAAGCAGCGCCCCCACTCTGGGAGCGGCCCCCTACCCCGCCTTTCCTGCCTGCTTCGGCTCCTTGGTAACAGCGGTGACACCCAGACGCGCGCACCTACCCAGACCTTAACAGCAAGACACACATCCCCGTGCGTACACCCATACTCATCCACAGATGCCCGCATGCATGCGCGATCACACACACACACACACACACACACACACACACACACACGCCGCACGCACACTGGTCCTGGGACTCAATCCCTAGGAGCCACCAAACACCCAGACCGACGGCAGGACAGAGGTGCGGGCCGCAGCGCCCCCTTCCCCAGCCCCCTTACCATGCTGCAGCCCCCGGCCCAGGCGTGCTGGGTCCGCACCGCGGTGCGCCCAGGTGGCTTTCTTAAAGGGAAAGTTGCATCAGCCTCCGAGGCTTAGTGCCGCCCAGAGTCCGCCCGCCCCGCTGCGTTGCTCGCTGCTTCTCCAGAGCTTGTTGTGTTTTGGTTTCGGGGAGGCGGGGGCCAAGACTTTGGTGAAAGTTTGGAGACTGGAGAAGGCTTGGGAGACCTAGCCAAGTCCCTCCCCTCCCTGAACAGCTCCCCTGGCTGCCCAACCCGCCCCCCCAATCCCCACCCCTCCTGGCCGACTTCTCAGGCTCCTCCTCCCAGGGAATAAAATTACAAATCGCTCCAGCTTTCAGATGATTGATCCCCTCTAACCCCTGGGAGTGGACTCCACAAAGGACTCCCCTTCTCCATCGTCCCTGCCTCTCTGCCCTCCAGCTGGGGCCCTTGAGGGAAGCAGATGTCGTCCCCTTCGGGCTAGGCTGGAATGAAGCCAGAAGGCCTGGGGCACTTCGGGGGACTGGGGCTCCAGTTAGCCTGCCAGGCCCCCGGCCTTCTGCGCCTGCGTTCCCCCTAGAGAAGTCAGAGCAAATTCCATTCCCTCTGGAGCAGCGCCGCTAGGGACTGTGGGCACAGCTGGGTAAGGCCTGGGTCCTACTCCTTGGAACGGGAAATCTAGGGGTAATCTTTTCCCCAGGGACCCTCCCTTTACCACTGGCTTGGTCAACCCTACCCTGTGTTACAGGGACTGCAGGCACAAACCTGGGCAGGCACAAACCTGGGCAGGCACAAACTCTTTCCTCCCTGCGGAGACAGATCAGGGTTCCAATATCAGCTAAAGGAGACTGCCAAAGGAGCGTTGGTGAGCCTCAGTTTCCTCCCTGAGAAATGGAGAGGATAAGTTAGGGTAATGCAGATGCTTATATGTGAAACACATTGCTCCAGGCTGCCTACAGGAGTGATGTTTGGCAGTGGTGGAAAGGGGCTCCACCTTTGCTTACCTTGTGAGAGCCACCAGCTTTCAGGGAGAAAGACCAGGAAGTATTGGCTGTCAGAACAACCCTTGTCCAGCCTTAGTGGGGCATCCACTAGGGAAGAGGCTGTCTGGAGAGATAGTCACCCCCTGCACCGAGTACATTCTTCACTGTTGTCTGTCTGGAAACAGGTTTTATTTATTCTCTGGGGACAGCCTCTAAGAAGCTGAGGTACATGTGCCAAACTCACACAAGATCAATTGACAAGTGAGAATCCTTTTTATTAATTTACAATTAGGGGCACTGAGCAAGATAGCTGGTATCAGGCACAGACACTTCCTGCTGATTGGACTTTCAGGCCATACACATTGTACTCCACAGACCTCCCCCAGGGCCCTACCATCTCAGAACTTACAACCTATTCATATCGGCGACTTGCTCAGATCCAGGAAAACAGGCTGGTCTCATCAGCAAGATTTTCATTTTTACTTTGTCCCCAAACCTAGCACATATAGCAAGTTTTGAATTTATATTCTATGAATGAATTGTACGTGTCTTGTGTGTGTGTGTGTGTGTGTGTATCTACCTGAGTGGTCTGTTGTGCCTGAGGATTTGTGTAGGTGGATCTGTGTGGAAGAGTGACTCTGTGCTCTGTAGCAGCTCTGTGTAGTGGCGTGTGTGTGCCCAACTCCAGGGACTGGGCAGATCTGATCCAAGCCTTCCTTGCTTCTCCTTCCAGGACATATATTCTGCTTCTGGTCTCTCCTTCCTGCCTAAGGCTTGTCAAAAAGGGCCACCATACAGGGAAAGCAGAAAGGAGGCTGTTGGAAGACACCCCCACTTAGTGGAGTGGGGAAAAGGAAGAAAGTTGGGGGCAGGCCAGCGGCTTTCTTCCCCCTTGACTAGGGGTGGCGGAGCAAGAAGAGGTCACTGTGTCAGTGAAGGTGTTACCAGGGAGACAACAAGTCCTCTGTTCTTGTCTTCTTGAAGGAAAGATTTCAATCAAGAGACAAAATGCAGCAAAGCAAACACGAATTTATTGGCCGCAGCAAAAACACACTTAGGACAATGAATCAAGGAAGGGTATAGAAGTAACAGGGGAGCCTAGACTGGGCTGCTTTGGCTCACTGAGAAGTCAGAGAAATGGAGCCTTGGAGACAGGTTCAGGGGGTGAGCTTGGGATGAGCTGCCGTTGCCCATTGCTCCCCTGGTTGCAAGTCTTGTGGGTCCCTTAGAGGGAATAAGGGGGAAGGGAGTGGCATGAGTGTACTCCTGGGTCCTTTGTGTTGAGGGTATTTATCTCCCTCTTGCAGGTGGGAATCTTAGGGGAGGTTTGCCAGGGGTAGGGGGTGGGGGTGGGGTCTCAATAGAATATTCATCAGCTTTCCAGAGTGCACTTTCAGGGTCCTGGTCTCCACTGATTGGTCAGTGCCAGGGCAGCGCATCATTAGCCAATGCAGCTGGTCCTGAGATATCCACTGCATCATTTGTCTGGTTTTGCTGCTTTTCTGGGCCTGGAGCTGAAATATACTGAGGCCTAGATGTTATCCTTAGGGAGGAAAAGGTCGGGGGGGGGGGGCGTCTAAGCCACATGGCCAGCAATATGAAAAGTCAGGGGTCCAAACCACATGACCAGTGATATGCTAGGGAAGACAGGTTCCTCTGGGGGCCAGGTTTTTGTTTTCCCAGTTTTGCCCCTTGCTAGACATCCGGGACTTTCTGTACCTGGCCTGTCATCCTTGCCCTGCTCATGTCTAATTGCCTATGACAAAGGTTCTTAAAATTGTCATGGCCCACCCTCATACTTGGAGACACCATATGAGGGAGCCTGGAGATCATTCAGATGCTCAGAGCCAGACCCCCAGGAGCCCTTCAGGCCTGGCTGGGGGTGGGGTGCTCAGGATTCAGCCTCCTGAGGCCCTACCAGAAAGAAGAAGACAGAGTTTGGGATTAATCTGAGGTCAGGGATGCAGCCTAGAACCTTAGACTATGGGGTGGGGAAAGAGATTTTCCCCTGGGATTTTTTTTTTTTTTTTTTTTTTTTATATCCTCACCTGAGGACATTTTTCCACCTTTTGTTCAGGTAAAGAGGGAGGGAGGGAGGGAAGGAGGGAGGGACATCAATGTGAAAGGGACACATCGAGTGGCTGCCTCCCCACTCGACCCATCCAGGGCCGGGGACAAACTGCAACCAAGGTACGTGCCCTTAGCGGGAACCAAACCCGGGTCTCTCTGTACCGCAGGTCAATGCTCTAACTGCTGAGCCAAACCGGCCAGGGCATCCCCTGGGATGTTTAGAGAAGTTAAAAATGTTGCCCATGAGGGTTTTGCTAGATAAGCAGATGATATAACACAAAGTATATTTGTATACATATAGAAAGATTTATGGATGTGTGTATTTTCCCCATCTTGATCCAGGAAGGGTTTCAGGAAATCACACAATGAGTTGAATCCCTAGAAGCTTGTAAGAAAAGGTTCTAGTTTGAAAAGTTGTTTCCACAAGACAGGGACTAGAGCAGCTGTTTTTTTCCAAGGAAAAAGAGGTCCCAAGGGAGTCAGGTTTGGGCTGAGCCCAGGCCAGAGCTGGGATGACCTTTGTCCTCTGCTGTGAGCTCCTGGCTATGGGCAACTGGCTCACAGGGTGGGAAGGACATGTGGATGGAGTAGGGGGGATTGGGCCTGAGTACAGACAGGAGGTCTTCTGGGATCAGATATCTGGCCTGCGTCTGCCTGGGGCAGGGCAGCAAGAGAACAGGCAGCTGGCTGGGCCCCACCCACTGTGGGCTAGGGCGTGTCTCAGGAACCTCCAGTTACAGTGCTATTTCCTTGGAGGACTGTACCCAGCATCAGATCCCCAGTGCTGGCTGGTTTCCTCACTTGTCATCAGCCTGCAGGATCAAGGCCTCTGTTGGGACTCAGAATTAGTATAGGTGTGTTTCTGGTGGACATAGGGGTGAGGCCAGATGTGGGCTACTTCTGGAGGGCACCGGAGGAGCTGGCAGCATTCAGCACCTTGGTGGGGAGGTGCTGAGGGACCCTGGTGAGAAACTGGGGGAGGGTGGACATTGCTTTGAGTTGTAGCCTGGACTAACCAATGGTCTCCACCTCCTTGGAGCCACAGGAGCTGGAAAACATTATTGTCAGTGGCCCATCCGGGCTCTGCTGTTAGGTTCTTCCTCCCTTGAACTTGGAGCACAGGAGGCAGGGGTGGGCAGGCACCTGCCCAATGTAGAGGAGCAAGTTAGATTGGTTCTAGATGTAAGAGCTGTCTCCAGGGCTCCATGTGCCCCTCAGGACACTCTGTTGTGCTTTCTCAGCCCTGGTCCATGGGGAGCATGAACCAATCACGGGGCTCAGAGCAGGGTTCCAGGCTGGACCTCTGGCTCCAGGTAAAATTAGGCATACAGGTTGGAAACACTGACTTTGGCCCTGCCTGGGGGTAGGAGAGGCAGTCCCGATGTCCAGAGCATTTAGTGCCCAGACACCTAAGCATCTTAGAGCTTCCAAAGTCCAGAATTCCTAATGCGGTGCCAAAGCTCCCACACTGTAGAAAACCCAAACACAGACTTCCCAATACTCAGAAGCCCCCATGCTCAACATCTGGGGGGCCTAATGCCCAGGATGCCCAACATCTATACCACTCAATGTTCTTAACACCCAATTTTCAGAGAGCCAGTGCCCCACTTCACTAGAAAAGAACCTGGAAAGGAGGGAGCGGTGCCCTTGCATGACCCAAGTCCCTTAGTGACTGCTGCTATCTGGGGAGTGGCCATCACTGAAGTTGGGGCTGGGGGTGGTGCTGGAAGCAGGTGCAGTGCTTCCTTGATGCCCCCTTTCTGGGTCTGGAGAGGTCAAGAGGGGCTGCAGGAGGGATAGCTTTTCCTGCAGCCGCTGCCCCGCCCAGGCTCGCAGGACCTGGGTAATGAATGTGCATTTTCTCACCACCTATGAGGGTGTGTCTACTGTGTGCTGGGAATTGTGCTAATCTCCAGGAATACAGTCATCAATGAAAAGGGTTTCCTGTTCTTCTATATGGGTCATGAGACAATGTGCTTGTTGATGTCTCGCTGGGGGTCAGTGTCGCTGTCTGTCGCCCATGTGTGAGAATGAATGGCTGTTGGCATGTGGTGATGTTGGTGTGAGGCTGTGAGCACAAACTGTGTCAGCAAGTTGACATGTGTGACTGTCAGAGTGGGTCTGATTATGTCCATCTGTCTGGCCATCCTTATAAACCCTCCCTGCCTCACTGCTTTCTCAAGGGATGGGATGTAAGGCCTCTCTTCTCTCAGACTTCCAGGTCCTGAGGCTCAGGCCTCCCTGTGGGGAGCAGGGGGCTGACCCCCAGAGCCACCAGCAGCAGGCCTGAGGTTCCTCCCACGGCCTCTTGGACTGGGAAATCAGGAACAGTGGTGGCTATAAGTGGAGCAGCCAACACCAAAAATAGCCATCCACACTGGGGAGCATCCTGTGACACCCCCTCTACCCAGCCCACCAAGCTTGGCCTACTGACCTGGAGACTGGTAGGACTCCTGTCTAACTCGACTTCCCCAAATCCCATGTAAGTAACCCCTTCAGATTTGAAGGAGGAGCAGAGCAATAATGTCACTGTAAATTATGACATCATAGGGAATTACACGTCACAGGGATTGACACCAGGCTTGGGTGTGGATGGCTGCCTTGGTGGGTGGGGCCCCATCTGTTGGCACTTCCCCACAACTCCCAGCAGCTGGGGATGGCAGGGCTGGATAAGACCACGCTCAATGGCCCTGCCTTATCTGTCCCCCAACATGCCTGATAAGCCTCTTACCATGGGTTGGCCCACGGAGCAGGCCGGGAGCTGGCGGGAAGAAGGGAAAGGGTCAGCTGGGGCTGGCTGAGCTCCAGGGCTGACAGCCGGGGGTCAGAGTCCTGGCAGAGCCCCAGGAAGAGGGAGGGGAAGGGTCCCTGGGAGAGCAATGTAGAGCAGTGATTAGGAACATGAGTCTGAAGCCAGGCTGCCTCATTCATAGCCTAGGTCTTCTACTAGATCGGGGGTAAACTGGGACTCCAGTTCCTTCAGTATTCGTCAGTGAGAATACCATTAGTAGTGACTCGGTCATAGTATTGTTGTGAGGATGAAATGTGTGTGAAGTAGGCACAGAGGGGGCCTGGTATATAGGAAGTACTCATCCTCTTTCCTAGGTGAGATGTTCCCCAGGAGGTGCCCACCTTACCCAGAAGCACATGTGGGTGGCTGGGCCTCACTGGGGTGTCCAGAGGCTGTGCAGCCTCATACACATCCCCACACCTGGCCTTTCCGACTTAGTTTCTTCTAGCAACCCCACAGACACCTGGTGCCCTCTGGTGAAAAGTACCATACGCGGCAGTTACCGCTGGCTCCCCAGGCTACATCTGGCCAAGATGATGTTCACTTGTCTGGTTATTTTATGTCATCCTCACATCAAGTTTACAAGGTAGGCATTATTTTCATTTTCTAGAACAAAGGCTCAGACAGGTTAAATAATTTGCCCAATGTTACAGAACCAGTAAGTGGTAGAACTTGAACTTGAACCCAGGTTGGCCTTTCTTCAAAATGCATGCTCTCACCTTCAGAACACTATGCACACATAGACGCATGGTGACCCAGTAGAGGTTTTATGTGCCATGCTGATAGTTTGAGTGAAACTATGATCGGGTGTATGGACATTGAAGTCCTCCCACTCAGTTATAAAACAGTGTGAATTGGTTTTGAGCACAATAAGATTGAGTGTTTGGCTCCTGGGACTAGTGGAGCTTTGCTGTGGCTGTATGATTGCATTGTGTGAGTGTAACTGTGATTGGGCTTGTCTTTCTGTTGTGTGAAATTAGTCTGTGTGTGAGTGTGTGTGAGCTGTGGAGGGGCGTGGTGTGGCTAGTGAGACTGTGTGGGGGAGGGTGACAGAGGGCCCCGAGTTCCCAGAACCACTTGCCTTTGCAGTCCCAGGACTGTGTCTGCTCACCCTGACACACATGATGGATGACTTCACATGCCTGACACACTCCCATGGGCCTGCCTGGATCTTATTCCTCCCCTAGCCCCTGCCTTTATTTATTTATTTATTTATTTATTTCCAGAAGTGAAGCAAATAGAACCACGAATGGAATTGGCTTTCATTTTTTTTCCCATGGGACATTTGCGAAAGCATTTTTACAAACTTTTGAGTGATATCTTTAAAAAATTAATTAAAAAAGGAAAATAAATATGGCTATTCTAATTCTTTCATTTGAATGTATCAGTTATCATTGTTTCTCAAGATGGTGTTCATGATTCTGGGGGTCTCCAAGACCCTTACAGGGGATCCACAAGGCAGAAATCATTTTCATAGTAATACTACATTGTTACTTGCCATTTTCACTTTGTTGATATTTGTGCTGATGACACAAGAGCAGCAGTGGGTAAGACTGCGGACACCCAAGCAGGAATTAGGGAGAGGCCCCAGCTGGACTCGCAGCTCTGGCATTTGTCAAGGAAGGAAGGAAGGAAGGAAGGAAGAAAGGAAGGAAGGGAGGAAGGAAGGGAGGGAGGGAGGGAGGGAGGGAGGAAAAAGGAAGACCAGGTTCATTTAGAAATTTCCTTGGTGAAGCAGTAAAATTATTAATTTTATTAACTTTCAACCCTTGAGTACATGCCTTCTTACTATTTTGTGGCTAATGGAAAGAATATGTAAAGCATGTCTGCTGCCTACTGAAGTGTGGCCATTATCTCAAGGAAAAGCACTCTTGAGGTTGAGTTGTGAGCCCCAAGTCACCTTTCTCAGTGAATGCTAGTTTTACTTAAAAGAACAAATGACAAAGAATAGTTATTCAGACTTGGATGTTTGACATACATTTTCTGGAAAGTGAATGGAGTGAGCCTGTTACTTCAAGGGGAAAAAACTATCAGTGTTGCCAATGATGAAATGAGAGCTTTCAGACCTGGCCAGATTAGAGTGTCGACCCGTGGATGGAAGGGTGGCAGGTTCCATCCCTGGCCCTGGTCAGGGTCATGCGGAAGGCAACTAATCGATGTGTCTCCCTCACATCGATGTTTCTCTCTCTCTCTCCCTTCCACTCTCTCTATTTATTAATTAAGAGAGGAAGAGAAGGGGAGAGAGATAGAAACATCAATGAGAGAGAATATTGATTGGCCACCTCCTGCATGCCCCCCACTGGGGATCAGGTCCACAACCTGGGCATGTGCCCTGACTGGGAATTGAACCGGTGACCTCTTGATGCATAGGTCAATGCTCAACCATTGAGCCACACTGGCTGGGCCCTTCCATTCTCTCTAAAAATCAATGGGAAAATATCCTTGGTCCTTGGGTGAGGATTAAAAAAAAAAAAAAAAATTAGAGCTTTCAAGTGAAAATTAGAATTTAGAAAACTTTTATCTGCTACTATGAGTTTGAAAGCTTCCTAATTTTGATGAAATAGGTAATGACATTAATGAATGTGGGTGGGGTTTTTTGCATTGTAAAATGAAATGTGTTAATATTTGGAAGATTGCATAACTCAACGAATCAATATTTGTCAGTGAATAAAATAACTAGTACTAGAACCAAACCACACATAGATATAATATTTATTCAACGTGCAAGACTTGTACTGGCCAGGTGGCTCAGTTGGTTGGAGCGTTGTCCTGCACACTAAAACGGTTGTGGGTTCGATTCCCAGTTGGGGCACGTACAGGAGGCAACTGATCGATGTTTCTCTCTCTTTCCTGCTCCCTTCCTCTCTCTCTCAAATCAATGAAAAATTCTTGGGTGAGGATTAAAAACAAACAAACAAAAAGTGCAAGGCTTCCCCCACCAAATAACATAAAATAAGATAAAGAGGATCAAAGTGCAAGACTTCCCAGTGGACTTTAACAGAATATGAAAACTTGCCCTGGCCGGTTTGGCTCAGCGGTTAGAGCGTCGGCCTGCGGTCTGGAGAGACCTGGGTTCGGTTCCCGCTAAGGGCATGTACTTCGGTTGCAGTTTGTCCCCGGCCCTGGTTGGTCGTGTGGGTGGCAACCACTCGATGTGTCCCTTGACGTCGATGTTTCTGTCTCTCTCTCCCTCCCACTCTATCTGTACAAAAAATGGAAAAATATCCTCGAGTGAGAATAAAAACAAACAAAAAAAAACAGAATATGAAAACTCATTGATTTAGTTTCAAATTCCACACTGAAATTGACTGTTAAACTATACCTGTTGAGTTTTGGTATAGTATCAAAGAGGACTATCCACAATTAACTAAGAAGGCTGTTAAAATATTTATTTCTTTTCCAGCTGTACATGTTGTAAGGCTGGGTTTCCTTCCCATATTTCAGCCAGAACCATGTATTGCAACAGATTGAATGCAGATGTAGATATGAAAATCCAGCTGTCTTCTATTAAGCTGGACATTAAAGAGATTTCCAAAAGTGACACTGTTCTCACTAAAGTTTTTATTTTGGAAAATACGTGACTACTTTTTACGTTGTTTTTTTTTTTTTCTTTTTCTGTTAACATATAATACATTTATATTGTTATTTTGAATTAATAAATATTTTAAATTTTTCACAGTTTTAATTTAGAATACAATAAATATCAATAGATAAAACCCATTTAAATAAAACGCTTTGGGTCCTGAATTATTTTTAAAAGTGTAAAAGGAGTCCTGAGAGCAGAAAGTTTATGAACCACTAAATTAGAGTTTTATTTTTAAAAACAACAACTAAAGTGTATTATAAACACTAAACTTACTAAGAGACTACATCTTAATTATTCCTACCACTAGAAGAAATGATAATTATGTAATGTAATAAAGGTGTTAGCTAGCACTACAGTGACGATCATATTGCTATATAAATGTATCTAATCGGTATCTTGTTCCCCTTAAACTTACACAATGTTATCTGTAATTATATCTCTATTTTAAAAAGAGCCCTTAGCCCTAGCTGGTTTTGCTCAGCAGTTAGAGCGTCGGCCTGTGGTCCAGAGAGACCGGGGTTCAGTTCCCGCTAAGGGCATGTACTTCGGTTGCAGTTTGTCCCCGGCCCTGGTTGGGTCGTGTGGGTGGCAGCCACTCGATGTTTCATGTTCCTTTCATGTCGATGTTTCTCTCTCCCTCTCTTCCTCTCTCTCTCTCTCCCGCTCTGTCTGAATAAAAAATGGAAAAATGTCCTCGGTGAGAATAAAAAAAAATAAAAAGAACACTTATTTTTTTGCCCTGGGTCTTTGCTATTATTTATGTACTATTAGAGAATAAGCTTATTTTACTACTTACATTACAGTGCACGTGAGCTGTAGAGTTTCAGCATGTTTCCAGTGTGGTTGGGGACATTCTCTCTCCCTCGTGGAATGTGTATGTTGTCACCTTCTCCCTGGTCTTCCTTAATGAGAAAAAATTGTGATCCCTCAATAGCCACGGCCCCGGGGACCGATAACACTGGCTGGCTGGGCTCTACACAATTACTGGTGTTCTTGCTTCATTTCATTTCTTCCATTTCTAAGCACATTTTTTAAAAGGCTATTATTTATTGAGTACATTCTGTGTTAACTTTAATTCATTTTCTCATTTAATCCTCACAATGACTCTGCTAGATGCTATTTTATAGATAAGAAAACTCAACCTCAGAGAGGTTACGGGAAGCCTCTGGGGATGTAACTGACCTTAAATCCCTTTTAATTTATACATTCAAGAAGTTATTCATCTAAAGTTTAGCACTTCGACAATTATTTTTAGTAACAAGTTACCACTAACGGGAGAGACCAGCACAGATCCTTACCCGAGCCCCACCTGAGCCCTCACATTGGGCCCTTAACTCTGAACCTCCACTGAAGCCCATGTCATGTCCAGGGCATGTCTTCCTAAATCCGAACTCTTGCACAAATGACTTGCCTGGATCTTCCCCCAGAACCTCTACAAAGACCTTCACACCCCATCCTCCCCACTGGACTCTCTCTGAGTCCCTACCTGAGCCGAGATCCTGAGCCCCTTGATTGGCCCTCACAGCAGAAGCCTCCACTCAGGCGCTGAGCCGCAGGTGGATTCAGACTCGGAGACAGCCCCTCTCGGAGCAGTGGCGGGTGTGGAGCCTGGAGGTGACAGGAGCTGGTGGAGATGGGCCCGAGCCGAGACAAGAGGGAGTAGAGACAAACCATGGACTTTCAGCCCCCATCACAGTCAAGAATGTTCCCAGACAGCACTGACCTCTCACCCCAACCCGCCTCAGCTCAAGGATTCACTGCCCCACCACCCCCACTTCAAGAACCAACAGCCGCCTCTGGAGCAACTGGGGCATCACCATGGCAACCAGGCCGGGCCAGCATGGGTGCAGGGTGGGCCTGCTTTAAAGGCTTTTATTGCCCCCAAACATAGGCCTGATTCTCTCATATTGGTAATGCTGAGGGGCCCAGTGGATTAGGGGATCCAGAAAAGGAGGGACCATTCCCTCCCCGCCACGTCTCTCAACTCAGAGGGAGAAGTTTCTCTGGTTCCAGCCAGATCCTTCCTGAGACAATCTGGTGGGAAACTCAAGCCCTCTGTCTAGACACCTCAGGCCCTCGCCAACACACTAGATGCTGGTGGATGTCTCTTGCTCCTCCTGGCATTCTGGAGGCAGAACTGGAGGAGAGGCTGGGGTCGGACCCTTGCCTCCCCCGTCCCCGTCGTGTGTCAGGGGTGGTTTTGTCAGTGGAGTAGCTGATGGAGGAATAGAAGAGCGAATGTGGAGGTCAGGGTTGCTCAGGGCTTGATGACCCAGACAGAAGCCTTGTGTGGGCGATTAGCTGTCACGTTGGCTCTAAGCTCCTTACCCTCAGAATCTAGCCTCCCCACCCCCAGATCTAATCCAGAGGGGAGGGGAGGGACCTTGGTGGGTCCCCAGTGACCCATTTAGCATAACCAGCTGTGGCCTTGTGGGGGTCAGCCTTCTTTTTGTCTCCATCTTTGTGGGTCTCTCTGCTTCTATGGGTTTATCTGCCCTCCATGCTTTGTGTTGTGTGTCTGTGTTTCTGTCTCCAAGTGTATTTTGTGCCTTGTCTCTGTGAAGAGCTCTGTGGCCCTGACTCCATGAAACTTGTTGGGGACAGAAGGCATGAACCACTGGGTAATGGGT